CTACTGGAGCAGACCAGAAGGTTTCTGGTGTTCGGCCTTAATTATTGCACAAGTTACGCACTTATTTACATATAGTGCAATGTCTTTCTTCATTCCAGGCCACCAGTAATATGCTCTTAAATCCTTATACATCTTGTCTGCTCCAGGGTGTATTGAATACTTTGATCGATGAGCTTCATCCAAAATGATCGATCTAAGATTGCCAATCTTAGGTACCCAAATTTTATTTCCCAAATAACACACTCCATCGGATTCTATCTGAAATTTGGACTCTATGCCATGCAGGGTTTCCTCCTTTAAGTTCTCCTTCATTAGAGCTTCCTTTTGACCTTCTAGGATTTGAGCTTTCAGACTAGTATTCACCAAGATTCCCAAAGCTCGCACCCTTGTTGGCTTTATACCTTGTTTCCGGCTCAAAGCATCGGCCACAACATTGGCTTTGCCCGGATGGTATTTGATCTAAAAGTCATAATCACTAAGCAATTCAACCCATCATCTTTGCCTCATATTCAACATTTTCTGGTCGAGGATGTACTGAAGGCTTTTATGATCCGTGTAAATGGTGCATTTTGTGCCATAGAGATAATGCCTCCATATCTTAAGTGCAAACACCACTGCTCCCAACTCAAGGTCATGCGTAGTATAGTTCTTTTCATGCACTTTTAGTTTTCTTGATGCATATGCAATTACTTTATCCTTTTGCATCAATACACAACCTAAGCCTTGATGTGATGCATCACAAAAGACCACGAAGTTATCCGAACCCTCTTGTAGGGATAAGATGGGTGCATTACATAGCTTCTGCTTGAGGGTCTCGAAGGCCTCTTCTTGCTTCTCGCTCCAAATGAATTTCTTATCTTTTTGGGTTAAGGCCGTAAGCAGCTGTGCAATTTTCGAAAAATTTGCAATGAAACGCCTGTAGTAGCCTTCTAACCCAAGAAACTGGCGGATCTCTGTAGTGGTTCTCGGGGCTTCCCAATTCCTAATAGCCTCAATTTTGGCAGGATCCACCTGAATTCCTCTCTTGTTAACTACGTGGCCCAGAAACTGAACTTCCTGTAACCAGAATTCACATTTGGAAAACTTGGCATACAACTTCTCATTTCGGAGTAATTCTAAGATTACCCTCAGATGTCGCTCATGGTCTTCTCGCTTTCCTGAATAAATTAATATGTCGTCTAGGAAAACGATTATGAATTTATCCAGGTATGGCCTACAAACTCTATTCATCAGGTCCATGAAGACAGCTTGTGCATTGGTTAGCCCAAATGGCATAACCATAAATTCATAATGACCATACCGGGTCCTGAAAGCTGTCTTGCGAATGTCCTCTTCCCGAACCCTCACTTGGTGATACCCGGATTGCAAGTCAATCTTGGAAAAATAGGCTGCTCCTTGAAGTTGATCAAACAGGTTATCGATTCTAGGGAGGGGGTATCTATTCTTGATGGTCAACTTATTGAGCTCCCGATAATCAATGCACATTCGCATTGACCCATCCTTCTTTTTGACGAATAGTACCGGTGCTCCCCAAGGTGAGTAACTTGGTCTGATAAATCCTTTGTCTAGCAGCTCCTGGAGTTGGGTCGATATCTCTTGCATTTCCAAGGGTGCCAAGCGGTATGGCGCTCTTGCTACTGGAGCAGCTCCAGGAACTAAGTCGATACCGAACTCGACTTGTCTTTGCGGAGGCAGGCCTGGTAAATCTTTATGGAAAACATCAGAAAATTCCTGAACTATAGGTAAGTCCTCAATATTATCCTCCTTGATCCTTCCATCTATCACGTGGGCCAGGTATGCAGGGTAATTCTTCTTTAAGTACTTCTTCATCTTCATGCAGGATACCAGCTTAATCGCTTGGTCCAACTTATCTCCCTGGACCACTATTGGCTCCATTCCTTCTTGAGGAATTCGAATGAGCTTTTTTGAACAAACGATTTTGGCTTAGTTTCTGGACAACCAATCCATGCCTACAATTACGTCGAAACTTCCTAGTTCGATCGATATAATATCTATGCTAAAATCCTTATTGGCTAAATTCAAGGTGCAGTTCAAAAGTATATTCCTGTCCTTGAATTCCTGACCATTGGCAAATTCGATGATAAGGGCTTCTTTCATCCTCTGGGGTCTTAAGTCAATTTTCTGCCCAAAATTTAGTGACACAAATATTCTGTCGGCGCCTGAGTCAAATAAAACCGATGCAAATTCATTGTTCAGAAGAAACGTACCTGACACTAC